AGGTAACAAATTTGTGAATAGAGTATAGAAAATATTCTCATGGAGGATCAAACTAAAGAATAATAATTGTTTTTTTACATCAGCGTACACTGGTGGTATGCCAACAAATCAAATTGTAAAAAAAATACAGTTTAAAGCTAATTTTTTCGTGCCCACCACTGTTTGTTAAAAAAAAAACCCATAAAAAACAGAAACCGCAAATAACCGTCAAATATCAAGATTGTTATTTTTAAATCATTCCGCAGTCCTTATTTTTTGATTATTTCAATCATGAAAAACCGTTATTTTCTAATATTTTTTTCGATCAAAAACAATCGCTATTTTGAATTTCTATTGTTTATCATTTATTTTTAACCGCAATCATGGAGACTACGTTTTTATGACCGATTTAAATCTTTTATAAAAAATATGGAAATAACGGGCATAATATGATCGAATAATAACGATGAAAAATTGTATCAAAAAAATTCACAAGATAAGATTATTCTTAGTCGAAACAAAATAAAAAACATAAAATTCAATCTTAACGGTTGAACTACGATTTTATTATAAAAATCATAACCGTTAGGGTCCCTGAAAAAAGCTTTAAAAAAATTGTCTCAAAGAAATATTACTTTGCACATCCATAGTAATTTTTGAATGGTAAACAGCAGTTTTACAAATATTGAAGAAATTTTTTATGGCCGCTATTTATTTTTTTTTTTTAAATTCCGGTCCGAATTTAACTAAGCATATTTATGGCAAAGAAAGGCTGGAAAAAAGCCAAGATGCTAGATCGCAAAGTCGGGGGCTATCAAATAAAATCACATGCTCAATCTAGCCACAAAAATACTAACCTTGCCACACTGGTAATAACAACATGCATCCTCAACGCAGCAGTGAGGTGTGACATTGTCAACAAAATGTCATTCATGCCTCACGCAACAAGAAAACATAATATAAAAGTAACAAAACGCATTGTGAAGATGTTGTTGCTGTGAAAAGTTTGTAAAAAAAAAAAGAAAAAAGAAAAGGCTTTAGATGCCACCAACTGCAGCAAAAGTATGGTTGCTGAGCACAATCGTTTATCGTACATTGGTAAATTTGTAAATGCATATGTATACCAATGCCTGCGAGATAATTTCCTGCTGACATACATAATATTATGAGGGTATGTACATAAAAATGTAGGTATGTAGATATACATAAATTTTCACCTCATCAACTCCCAAGGGTGTAATAGAGTATTTTATTCCACTCAAAATTATCTCCTCTTACAACTCGTACAAATGCTTTGCAAATGGCAATTAAAATCATTATTTACACATATCATGTACGTGCATGTATAGCCAGTACCTATGTACATTCATTCGAAAAGTTGAGATGCATATTCAAATATTTCAAACAACTGAAAATTGATTTCCCCATTGGCAATGCAATGAAATTTGTTGAGCTATAAGTGTGTAGATAAGTTTGAGAATTTTCAATTTGCAAGGGGTGCTTTAAATGTTGTAAGTTGTTAATTTAAATGTTCATTTACTTCCTCACAGTACAGCCACATTTGAAGCATCTTACGAGTAAATTTAGTAAAGATTGGTTTAAGGTTGGTTTTTTAACCTTACAGAAGGCCTCCGCTTTCCAGTTACCTACCGAGGCCAAAATAGTTTATTTTATTTTTAATTTTATTTATTTCTGCCAGTTTTATTAAGGCGATCGATAGTTCGATCGCAACAATAATAGTGGAGTTTTTGCTGGTAAGTTAAAATAATTGGAGACCAGAGTCTTCCCAGAAGACAAGTCCAAATGTGTCTAGTCGAATAATCTCGGTGTTCAACTTTCATAAACTAAAACGCACTCTTTTTTTGGTTCAGATGATTGACATTCCTAGTCGAACCTGGCGTTGTTTCATGCCTGCTGAAACTTAATGTATCTTACTACCTACTTCTATGCTGAAACCTAGTAGTTATGCAGTGTACATTTTTTTGGTCCCCGGCGAAGTCTATCGGTCTCAGTCCATTATCGGGCGTTTTATTATGGAGGCTGTATTATCGGACGATGGGAAAAGACTCCTTCTTTTACCAGAGTTTCATACTATATCCAAGTGCATATAAATAAAAGGCCCACAGGAATGGATGATAGTAGATGACTATTCCTTCAGCTTTAAGTAGCCGAAACGATCCAGATTTATATCTAGCCAAGGACTGTCAATATGTTATGACAGCAACAACAATACATGGCGAAGGAGACCCTCTACATCACGGATAGAAGGCGTCTGCTCTCTTTAAATGACAGCTGTAGTTAACATCGCTAGTTCTTACGTTTCGTCTAAAGGGTGAACACACCAAAACTGCGACACTTTGGGAAGCTTATAACTTAACCAAAACGAATTCAATATTTTGAAATTCAAATACCATAAGCTGATCACATGACCTTAGTTGGACGTAGAAAAAATTTCATTTGAATTTGATTCCTAGTTGAGTTAAAAATGACAACCGAGTTAGAAACGAGACAAACCATTTTGCACGAGTTTATAAATGATCCGGCCTTATGTACACGTAAAATTGCTAAAAAATTAAAGATTGCACTATTCGACAGTTTGCAGGGTTTTAATCGGTACAAATAAGGCCTGGCAGTTACGAGAAAACCAGGGAGCGGGGGTTAGCATGGTCAAAGTGATAAAAACAGTGCTCGGAAGGTCCTCAGTGCGTTTTCGCGAAATCCGAAGATTTTGTCGCGTTATGTTGCAAAATCCGTACGCAGATCGCAGTTTTTCGTACAAAAGGTAAAGCGGAAAGCTTCATTGAGATGTTCTACAGCTCAAACAGCGCCAGACCGAGGCGCAAAGTAGAATGTTACAGCGAAATCCCGCATTCGGAAGTTGTATGAATTCTAAATTAAAAAATACAACTGCATTGTTATGGACTACGAAACCTACTGCTATAAAAATTCAAAATATATTGCAGGTCAAGATTTTTATACTGGTGCAAGTCGTCAAAATGCCCCTGAAAGTTGTAAGCTGAAAATGAAGTCCAAATTTCCAAAAAACCACATGGTTTGGCAAGCTATTTGAACCTGTGGCCGTAAGAGCAGCCATTTTTTCCCACCCGGGACAATGAATGATCAAGTTTATCGGGATGAGTGCCTCAAAAGGCGTCTTCTGTCATTTATCAACAGATAAGGAGTAGGCCACTGTTCTAGGCGGACGTGGGAACCTGCCACTATGCCAAGGACACATTGCCGTGGTATAATGCAAATAACATCAATTTTGTACCTCACGACTGCAATCCACCCAATAGTCCAGAGCCACGTCCTATTGGGGATATTCCCAATGGTCAATTGTCAAAGAAATCTTGCAGAAAACAGGTGAAACAGTGAAAAATATTGAAGAGTGCAAAACAAAGTAGTTGTGCGCATCGCGTAAAGTCGATGATACAGTCGTGCAGAACATGATGGCGCGTGTGCGATGAAAATACCGATCACTTGCATATGGAGCAAATAATAACTAATATTTTAACATTTTAATAACATCTAAACTTCCAAGTTGTATAATACAAAAAAAAAATAGTTTCAAAGCCTGCTAGTTTGGTTCTGGTAGTAATTTCTAAGTGTCGCAGTTTTGGTGTGTTCACCCTTTATAACGTCGTCGTAATTCTTGTATGGTGTAACGTCGCCTTCTCTGTAACTTCGCCTGGCCGGGAAAATGGAAATTCAATATTGAGGGTCTGGATCTCGTTCCTCACACATATATAGTCTTTTAACACTTGCTGATTTTTTTCAATAGAACATATTTTAGTGGCGAGTTCTAAATCCATGCCCAAATCTTTAGTGAATATAAAAGGCGTACAGTCTTCCAAGATAATTCTACGGGGACAGACGCTACAGATTTCAGTTGATCCTTAAATCAAATATATAGGAGTGGTCCTCCGAGAGAGCTCCTGAGTTATGTTATCTCTGCTATATTCCATTAAACGTTAGAATAAATTTAGCTTAATACATACATACATATTATCAATGTATAAGTAGTCGTCGCATTATCATTTGTTTAATTTACGTAAAAACTTAGGAATTCAAGAATTCTGTATGCACAAACAACCAATGGGAATTTCTCTATCCACATGCACTGTATGCGAAAGCCTTTACTGTTGTAAAAATGCCTTTATCACAGACTTCGCAGATAAGATAAAAAGCGTTTCAAAAATCGTAGTTAGACTTCTCAAACCTAACACAGCAAATTTCATGAATAGCGGCTATGAGAAAGACCAATTAAACTCAAAAGTATATTGTGTTATCTGTTGTAACTATGTCAATGGCACAAACACACATTTTTATGTAAATACGTAAATATGTATAAATGCAGCTGAAGTTTATTACGTAGTAAGTACATATACACTTGGGAGATAATTGCTCATAAACTTTTTGTGTGTATAGTATAATAATAAGAGTAGGTAATTATTTTTAGTAGGTGCATAAACCGAGTAGCATATGGCGTAAATTCCTGGGCGCATACATTTTCACACAGTAACTAAATTTGGTGCAATAAAATTGTAGCTAATTTTATTTAATAAATCGTAGTGAAGATAGATATGTACACAATGCGTAGAATGTGGAGAAATAATGACTATACACTCTTAGTCATATGAATAGCCCAACCTTTTGATCTTCGGTATGTACAGTTTTCGTTTTGTTTGTTTAATATTCATACATTTTTTATAAAAATGTAGCAATTGTCAAAAATCAACGATATTTTGTAGCCACTTGAAACATGCAATTTATTATGCTAAAATTGAATGGGCTACAAAACTGCAAACCCGAAATTTTTCTAAAAATGTTGTTAACTTATGCACTGCAGATCATTTTTATAAAATTTTGAAATCGGTTTTACAAGTAGAATATGATGCTACAATTTTACACAAAATTAATGAATATTAAACAAACAAAAGGAAAACTGTACATACTGAGGATCATACCCTGCTATTCAAATGACTCTGAGTATACATATGTATGCTTAGTATTGTACTTACGCTTCGCAATATGGCAATTTGTTGTATCCTTTGTATGTTTTCATATTCAATGTCATACCACATTCTGTGCACTTGAAACATGTCTTGTGCCATGTCTGAAAGTAGATAAGAATAAAAATAAATAAAAATTATTGCAAGTTTCAAAAAAAATTAAATTTTAAATTTATAAAGTATTACTTTCTTTCACGCATTGAAAACAAAAAACATCGCAAAAAAATCATAAGTGACATTTTCTTAACATGTTTCAAAAACCAATTTCCGAAAAAAAAATCGCTTAGGTTTATTTCCTAGTTTGGTTTTTTGATATATGAGATAAGGGTGCCAAGTGTTTAACATTCGATGAAAAGGTTTCAATACATTTGATATTTAATAAGTTTGTAAAAATTGCCGGGGGTAAATTCGAAAACTCGAAAATTAAAAATAAAGGTCATATTTAACTGATTAATTTTTTATATACAGTGACGGGCAAAACTGTAACATGGTTTAACACTTTTTACTTCAGCCATCGCTATCTTTCCAAGTTCTAACGACTTTCATACTTTTGTTGTATATTCTTGTTGGTACATCCCTAATCCCTCTCTCATAACGATTTGAAGTCAATACAACAACAATAAAAAAACCAGCAGAAAAAAATGTAAATTAAGGCAGATGTTACAGTTTTGCACTCATACATTTTTAAGAACTTTTTAACAATTTTCACGAAAAAAAGAACTACTAACACAATGTTCAGTACTCTTTTGCTTGTTTCAGTTCCTGGACGATTTGGCATACCTTATTTGTATCTCTGTAAAAATTCTGGAGGTATATCCTTAGTTTGCTTTCACAGCTCATATACTCGATTTTACGGACTTGGATACTTAGTAAGCTGTGCTTTTAGTTGTTTTCGCAAATTCTCAATGAGATTTATGTCCGCGGATTGTGGAGGTCATTTGAAATCAGCAAATTTTTGCTTTTGTATCCAGTCTTTGTGAATATGTGCAGTGTGTTTTGGGTGATTTTTCAGCAGAAACTCTAATTTTTCGACTACATCTTGCAAATTTTGTTGAAATATGAACAGATACTGTTCCTCACGCATAATCTGTACTAACAGATCAAGAAAATGTTTGAAATACAACCCCAAACTATTATTGACCGACCACTTTTATTCACAGTTTGCCTTACATGCTGCGCATGGGCTTAATTTGGGTCTTTGACCCAATAGCATGCCCGGCCATCTGATTGAAAGCGATTAATTTAGTCGTTTTAGTTATTGTCGGACCAAATAACCTTCAATTGAAACTTAAAAATATGTTTTTATTGCATTCTGAACGGCCTAACATATCCCAATAGGCAACGGTTCGGTTTTCGTGCGATGCAGCGAAATGCTGCCGCACTCGCACATGTATTTTGATCAGATTTGTTTTTTTCTTCTTTTATGATCCTTTGCGCTCAATTTGGCAATTCTTCGACTCGCTGTCTATTGATTTGCGTTAAAGTTTAATACCTTAAGCGCTTCTGTAATAGTGGCTGCATCGCTACTTGCTGCTAAGTTCACAAGATACCGTACCGTAATATTTTTTGACAGACTTCCTTTGCTCTTGGGAACACTTTAGGCTATATTTTTTCTCAGTCTTAACATTTTCAAGTAGCAAATTCCAAAATTGTTTGCCACTTTTCGTGCGGTCCCGCCTTTCCGCAGTAAATCTATTATTTACATTTATGGTTCCTGATTAACTATATTATTTACTGGTGATCACTTCTTCAATAAATTACAATACAGAAAAAAGTCATCTGACTTCCAACTAAGTAAGAGATAACTGTCAAATGCAAAACTGAGAGTGAGTGCGAAACTGTAACATCTGCCTCAATTTAAATTTTTGTCTGCTGGTTTTTTTATTGTTGTTGTATTGACTTCAAATCGTTATGAGAGAGGGAGCAGGGATGTACCAACAAGAATATACAACAAAAGGATGAAAGTCTTTTGAACTTGGAAATATAGCGATGGCTGCATTAAAAAGAGTTACACCATGTTACAGTTTTGCTCGTCACTGTAGGTACATTTACAGGGCGATTCTGGAAACTGTCTTTCAACTCACCACAGTCTTTCATAGCACAATTGTCAATTCTGCCTACTCTTTACTGCCTTTCGAAAGACTGATTGAAAGATCTGCTAACGAATTGAATAATCATAAATATTTTTCTTTTTAAAACAAATAAAATTAATAAATAAAAGAAAATTATATTGGAAAAAGAAAAAATAAAAAGATGAAATATGTAGTACTTAAAATTAAAGTAGGTTAAAAATATTTTTATTAAAAAAAATAAAAACAATTAAAAAAAATCATAAAAAAAATAAAAATTAATCAAACGAAACAAAAAAATGTATTTTTCTTTTTAAAACAATAAACTAAAAATTAAAAGAAAATTAAATTTCCTACTTATTAAATAAAAAACAATAAAAATTTTAAAAAGTAAATGAAAGTTGAGAAAATATTTTTTTGTTTACACAATAAAATCTGAAAATCTAATTAACCAAAAAAAAATCAAATAAGTTCCTAAAAATTAAATAAAATTAAAAAATAAAGTATTTTTTTTTAACCTATCACAACAAAACCACTAAAAATTAGATTAAAAAGAAAAAAAGTAAAATAAGTTTCTAAAAGTTTAATTAAAATATATATATTTCCATTTTTTAAATGAATAATCTGAAAAATTAAATTAAAAGCGAAAAAAATGTATACTGAAAAAATAAAGAACTCGGATGTCTCGAGTCGCACGCCTGACCATTGCCCACTCGGCCATTGCGGCTGGTGGAGTGGCGCGAGGTAAATGATATACAAGTGCTTTGTCTCAAATTAGCTTTTCACCACGAGTGGGGAATGAGAGAGCTTTTTTCCAAGACTTTTGTACTAGAATAACAAAAGTCTTTCGAACCATCTTGCCATCATTCATTTGTCTTACGAAAGACTTTTTACTATCTTAACCAGAATTGCCCTGTTAAACTCTTTCCATCATTTTGATTAAAAAATAATATAAAAATAAATACTTTTCTGGCACCCCTTCCATTAAGGATTTTATGGTATTATTGGATACTTTTCGAGTTGCTGAATCTTTAGCATTCCTGCCTACTTTCTTTGTTGCCTTGATTTATATTTTGACCAACGCCCAGTATCTTTCGATTGGTCTGAGATCTGGACAGTTCGGCAGATTTTCTACCCGAGGCACCAAAAGCACATTGTTCTTCGAGTACCATTCCAAAGCCAATTTGCTGTAATGACAAGAGGCTAGGTCCGGTCAAAAGAAAGTGGAAACCTCAGGCTGTCTTAGGAAATGCTTTAGTCTTTTTTCCAAACATTCCACAATATATGTTTTGCGGACACAAAAAGTCGGAACATTCCACCTTCTGCGCCAGTTTTCTGCACAAAATGTTGGAGTTCTTCTGCAAAATGATGATGATTTTGGTTTTCTTATTTTGGTCATATTTCAGCCTTCCGAGTCACAACACTCTTGATACACTTTCTGGGCCTACTTCCGAACAATTTTTTTTTTTATATCCACTGAGGGTGGTCTTGAAAACTTCTCACAATCATTTTTCATGCTTCCAATTCGCTTCCCATTTATACGTGATTAGAAGTGTCTAGCGAAAGTATTTGAAAATGGTACATTTTTGACAGTTATTTCAAAGCATACTACCAACAAATTTTTCAAATTGAGTAATTTGAATGAGTGTTCTTGGTTAAAATCAAGGTGAAAATTTTTTCAAAAGCAGTCCTTACATACAATTTTAGTGCCTATGCATTTAACTAGTTTTGCTTAAAAATTTATTTTCTGGCATTGAACTTAAATTTTAATTCTGAAAATATGCATTTTAATTGTCAGCATTAGCCTTTAGCTAAATATTTTGATATAAAAAAAAAGAAATAAAGGAAATACGTTGCATGGAGAATTTAATAACAAAAAGCATAGCCAATGGAAATTATATTTTACATTATTTTCACTTACTCTCCATCATTCTAGCTAAACGTGCTTCATAAATAAAGCACGATGAAGCAATCAAAATCCGTATATAAATATGTTCGTACAAATGCAGTAAATCATAAACAATTTACAAAAACCAACCAAAAAATGACTAAACATGCTAAATGCATACACCACAGCATAATTCCGAAACAGAACATAAAAATCAACGCATTGGGCCAACGAAAAAAATAAAATAAAACACATTAAATTTACACAAATATTATGAATGTCTCCTATATGACTGACCGACTGCTGTCAGCAGCAACAAGTTACGCTATATTAGTACGTGGAACTGTTGATAAAAATAATGTTTACTGCATTCCTAAGCTATGTACATATCTAAAGGGTATGTATTTAGTACTTTATGTGCGTATACACATGTATGTTTGTACGTGTGTACTTATTTATGTTTGCTTACCAAGTTAGAATAACATCTCAACGAGTTCTTTCGTATGAACTCTTCCAAACCTCTAGCGGTCATTTTTGAACAGGTCAAAGAAAAAACTTTCACCTATGTGAAGGCATCGCACACGACACCACCAAACACTTCTGCACTTGCTTCCTTAAACGATACTCACTTAACACCCCTTTCACTCTCCGTCGAAACAGCATGTTTCCACATCCTGCCATTAGTTGAGCATGACGACAACGATTTTTAGACTAGCCGATTTGGGCAGGGCTTACTAGTATCGCTACAACAACAACGACAGTAACTAAAAGACCAACCAAATCTTCCGCTAACCAGATCTTAGAAAAAGGTATTCGGTGTTCCGAAATGCGACACCGACTGGACGCAAGCATAATCGAATCGTATTGTTAGACATGTCAGCGATACATTTATTCCAAATTGTGTCGGCTTTATGTGCCGATAGGTAGGCGTAGGAGTTCTATGTCATTGCCGACGATGGCATAACCCCACGGCGCACGAAACCACAGCGACAATATGGGGCGGACATCTAAACCACCTGGGTAGGGCTTGAAGCCTATCTAAAGCGTCTGCCGTACTTTGGGTCTACCCACATTCGGGTATTAAACAACAGCCACCACAATACTTCCCATGGGCCCGTACCCAAGAACAGGCCAGAGTAAACTGTGA